AGAGCAGCCCCAACAACACCTAGAAGCCCGACATCATCCAGGACAAAGTAGTCCATTTGACTGGTGCTACATCTAAAAGCACCTACTTCCTCCACCACTGACGCTCAGTATCAGCAGTGTATACTACGTACAAGATGCACTGCAGAAATTCACCAAAGATCCTCAGGCAGCACCTTCCAAACCCATGACCATTTCCTTCTCGAAGGCAAAGGGCAGAAAATAAATGGGAACATCACCACCTTCAAGTTCCTCTCCAAGCCACTCACCATCCTGACTTGGAAATATTGCCGTTCCTTCACTGACTGGGTCATATCCTGAAATTCCCTCCCTAATGGCATTGTGGGTCAACCCATAGCACATGGGCTGCAGTGGTGCAAAAAGGCAGCTCATCACCACCTTCACAAGGGCAACTAGGGATGGGCAATAAATGCTGGCCAGCCAGCAATGCCCATATCCCACAAGTGAATAAAAAACTAAATAGCACAAGTTTAAGATGAGGGGGAAAGGATTTAAAAGGGGCATATGGGGTAAGTTTTCACACAGCAGGTGGTGAACGTATGGAATGAGCTGCCAGAGGAAGTGCTGGAGGCTAGTACAATTACAAAATCTAAGAGGCATTTGGATGGGGATATGAATAGGAAGGCTTTAAAAGGGACGTGGGCCAAACGTTGGCAAATAGGACTAGATTAATTTATGATACCTGGTCAGCGTGGACGAGTTGGACCGAAGGGTCTGTTTCCACGCTGTACAGTTCTATGACTCTATAACGGTGTATGGTCATTGGATGTTATATTCAGTTACCCTCCTCTGCTGCCAATTCATTTTCTGCTCTTTCAGTTTGAGGAAAATGTATCAACTTTCAACTTTGGAGCTTCCTGATATCTCCATAAATTCAATAAGTAAATGAGCCATAGCCTCTGCGCAAACAGAAAAACAGGCTGACAGGTAAAACAAAACTTCAGCTCAATTTTATAACAAATTTGAAAGGGTAAAAACATGCGCAGGATTCCTTGCTACCACATTTGTGTACAAATAACATTTTCTAATATCAATGAGATCAACTCTGGATATTTAGAAGTGAACTCCCATTGTTCAAAAGCAAAGAACAGCAATAAAACTCATTTGCAAGAAGGTCAAAGAATTTTGTCATTGACAATTGATTCAAAATTATCTACAGTTACTGTAATCTGGTGGTTGCTTTGCTACTGTTGATATTCCAAGGAACAGGAAAACCAATACAATCCAACTAAAAATATTTCAGTCCATGACTACCTGCACTCTCAACAATTCAACATTACTGACTTACAGACATCCTGCCTTTCCACTTGCATCAACTACATTCCCACAAGAGCAATGGGGAGGTTGTCTTTGTTATTTTCTGCGCCCCCCAAGTCTCAAGGGAATAGATACCACCTGTGGCTGAGGGAGATACCTGCTTTCAGTGCTACTTAGGCATGTGTCTCACAGCACGCAAGTGTGGCCTGGGGATGACTTTCCCTTCTAATTTCACCTCCCTTTGCAAAAAAAGTTGTCACTCATGTTTACCTTGGGTGAGAGGATGGGATCCACAAGCAGCGCAGCTTTGAACTAATTTAATGGCTACTTTAATAAAAGCCCCAATTATGTCTGCATCACCTCTATCAAAGACATATCCAATTAGTTTTTCTTCTCCTGCCATTTTTCTAAAGCTCTTCACACAAAATTCTTTTTTTAAATTCCTTCATGAATGTGAGCATCACTAGTAAAGCCAGCATATGTTGCTTATCCCCAATTGCTCTTTATGTGATTGGCTTGTTGGGCCTTTCAGATGGCAGTTAAGAGGCACCCACTTTGTGGGGGTCTGGAGTCACTGTAGGTCAGATCAGGTAAAGACAGCAGATTTCCTTCCCTAAAGGGCACGTGTGGATCAGATGGGTTTTTAAACATCAGTTAATAATAGTTTCATGATCTCCATTGCCAAGACTAGCTTTCCATTCCAGAATGTTTATGCTTCTTTTTAAAAATTAAATTCAAATTCCACCAACTGCTACGTGTGGCTTGGGATGACTTAGTAGTCCATTGACATTTCTATACTATCATCTCATCCTCCCCCTTTTCAAGTATATATGCAATTCCTTCTGAATAATAACTGAATTGGTTTCAAGTGCACTTGCAAACAGTGCATTCCAAATTATAACTTGTATAAAAACTCTCACTCCCCTCTGGTACTTCTACCAACAACTTAAAGTTCAGTATCCTCTGGTTACTGAATTAGTTTGGGCGGAAAAATGTAATAGCAAGGGAAATAAATAATGAGCTGTTGTCGTCTATAAGCCATTGCAGAATTGCATCATTGTAGGAAAAATATAAGTTGGGAAATATTGGAGGAGGGCATGTAGGAGGGCACTACCACTACCATGGGTATTTTAATCTACACACTGACTGCAAAATTCAGATGGGCAAGGGGAAGACCAATTGTATCAGGGATTTATTTTTTAAAAGCAGTATATCGCACAACCTACCTGGGAACAAAGTATTTTAGATCTAAGTGTGGTATGAGGTAGGATTGATAAGAGATCTCTTAGTTAATGATCGTCTAGGGGGTAGAGATCACAACATGGTAGAACTTCAAATACAGTTTCAGGGACAGCAACTTGGGTCTTAAACCAGCATCTTCATCTTAAATAAGGGAAATTACAGAGGCATGAAGGAAGTGGTCTAAAGCAGGCTAGAGAGGGCAGTAGATGATCAGTGGCAGACATTTAAGTACATACTTCATAACACTCATCAAAACGTTTTCCACTCAAAAAGGACTCAAATAAGAAGGACGAATGATCTATGATTAACAATGGCAGTCAAGAAGAGTGTCCAAGTAAAACGAGGGAATAAAAAGTGGCAAAAACTAATGTTAGACCAGAGGATTGGAAATTGTTTTTGAAGCCTGCAGCAGATGACTAAAGATCTAATAAAAAAGGCAGAGAATTGATCATGAAAGTAAATTGCCTGAAATATAAAAATACAAAGGAAGAGCTTCCAAGGGAATATAAACAGAAAGAAAGAATGGTTAAAATGAGTGTGGGACCCTTGGAAGATGTGACTAGAGAATTGATAACAGGGAACAACAGGAATCATTTAAACCAATATTTTGCAATTTTCATGGCAGAAAATATCAAACATATTAAAAATATCAGGTAAGAAATGTGCTAATAAGAACTTTTAACTATCTCTAGCAAAAGGGAAAAGATATTTGACAAACTGAGGAGACTGAAGGCAGATAAGTCACCACTTACATTCACATTACCTGATGACCTGCATCAAGGGTTTTAAGGAAGTAGTTGCAGAGATAATGGATACATTGGTCAAAATATTCCAGAGCTTACTGGAGAACAACATGGAGATCATGTTGTGAGGAGGACATAAGAAATGTGCAAAAAAGGTTGAGCGACTGAACCAAAATTTGGCAAAAATGAGCTCATGATCTTTGGTGGGAAGAATCAAAAGGCAGGCTATTAATTAAAGTGGTGACAGATTCCAAAGTGTCCAGTACAGAGGGATCTGACCGTTCTTGTGCACAAAACGTTAACATGCAGTTGCAGCAAGTAATTAAAGCAGCAGATAGAATTTTGACATTTATTGCTAGGTGATCAGAGTTTAAAAATAGGAAAGTCTTGTTACAACTGTACTGGGTGTTGGCAAGGCCATACCTGGAGTACTGTGCACAGTTTGTGTCCCCAGTTTAGGCCCCTAAGAAAGGCGACACTGGCATTAGATGGAGTTCATGAGGGATTCAGTCATCTGATTCTTAGGATGAAAGGGTTGACTTATCAATAACAGCTGAACAGGTTAGGCTCTTATTCATTACTGTTAAAAGAATGAGGAGCGATCTGATTCAAACATACAAACTTCCGAGCGGGCTTGACAGAGTAAACGTTGACAAAATGTTTTTACCAATGGAGGAACCTTGAACTAGAGTTCAAGAATAAGGGAACACCCGTTTAAAACGGGGATGCAAAGGAATTTCTTTTCCCAAGCATAGTGAATGTCTGGAATTCTCTACCCCAGAAAGTTGTGGAGGCTAGATCACAAAAGTATTAAAAGAGGAAGTAGACAAATTTTGAAATGGAGGAGTTGAAGGCAAGAGGAGCTGGCATCAAAGAGGAACTGAGAACTTGGGCAGGTCAGCTATGATCTTATAGAACAGGAGGATAGGCTTGAGGGGGTGAATGATCTATTAATACTCCTACTTCTTATGTTCTTATGGTGTTACTGCCAGTGCACAAGTTATGAAATACTGCAAAGTATGAATCTCAAACTATTGCAACATATGTTCAAAGTAGTTTTCAAAACATAGGAGCTGCATAAAATGAACACTATAAGGAGTTGAATGCCAAAAAAATTGGCAAAATCATTCTACCTTTCTTTGTTGAATTTAAGAGAATGGAGTATTGCAGGCCTTTTCTGACGTAGATTCCAGAGATGCAAGGTATCATCGGCCAAGGCACTCACAAGAGCTCCCTGAAGAAAAATGAAAATATATTATATCTTTCAACAATTGAATACACAAACAGACAATGAGAAGACAATCAGGTTTGCTCTGCCTAACTACAGTTAGACGTCTCCTGATGTTCACCCCATATTTAATTTTACTACTTCTAGAGAGAAGCAAGAAAATTCATAAACTGTCAGCTTAAAATGAAACCGTTGAAAACTCCGATCAGGGAATAATCGAGAGCAACTTCCAACATTCACAATTCATCACAATTGTAACAGAGCAGCAACTTGCCCCAGGGATAAGAAACATCCTCTTCACTTGAGCTGGTCACATTTCCTTTTAAAAAAAAAAGTGACCACATTATATCTTTTCACATTTTCACAAGTCATAGTAGTATGCCCCAGAGGGAGCTGGTAATTAATCTACACATGTATAAAATTTTGACTTAAAATAAACATTGTGGTACAACTGCTCTCTGTATCGAATAACATATCTAGCCAGACTGCACAATATCCCGTTAACCTACACTGTTTTATTTTTTCCTGTTTGATCAGGTATCCAAAGCAAGTGTTACTTTGCTATCCTCATCAATTACCCCCATCACCCAGCCCTCTTGCAAGGCACTTTTTCCATACAATGGAGTTGCAAGACCTGCCTTTTCACCTAAAGTAAAGCCTGAAGTTTAAAAAAAAGTATTGGAGAAACTCAGCAGGTCAGGCAGCATCCGAGTAGAGAAAAACGTTTTGTATCCAATACGACTATATCAAGTAGTGCAGCTGATGTCAGTTATGTGGAATTCACGAAGGCTTGTGACAATTGGGTGTTTCAATTTTGATCTTATTTTTGCTTTCAAACAGCAGCACACTTGCACGAGGCACATCTCCTGCCTTACTTTGCCTTGCTCATTACATGGAAATATGTACAAATATATGAATTTGGAGAAGTAGATCATTCGGCCTCACGTCTGCTCAGCCATTCAATGAGATAGTGACTGATCTGATTGCTCACATTCCCACCTATCCCTGATATCCTTCCAACCCCTTGCTCATCAAGAATCTAACTCTGCCTTAAAATATTCAAAAGATCTGTTTCTGTTGCCTTTTGAAGAGTGCCAAAGACTCAGAACCCACAGAAAAAAATTTCCCCTGAACCCAGTCATTAATGGATGATCTCTTATTTAAGCAGCAACCCCGAATTCTAGATTCTTCTGCTAAAGGAAACATCCTTTCCACATTCATCCTGTCAAGCACCCTCAAGATCTTATCTGTTGCAAAAGTCACCTCTTACTCTAATTTCCAGCACATACAAGTCTAGCCTGTCAAACGTTTCCTCACAAGGCAACCCACACATTCCAAGGATTAGTCTAAATGAAGCTTCTCTGAACTGCTTCCAACATATTTATAGTCTTCCCTAAATAAGGCTACCAATACAGTACATTGTACTCCAGATGTGGTCTCACCAATGCCCTGTGAAACCTTGGAGAAACTGTTTCAGTTACGTATTCAACTCCCCTCACTATAAAAGAGTAACATTCTACTCACTTTCCCAATGATATGCTGTATTTCATGCTAACCTCTACAATTCACACAGGTCCCTCTGCAAATCAGAGTTCTGCAATCTCTCAATATTTTGATATATTTTCTTATTCTTCAGCAAAATTGGACAATTTCATGTTTTCCCACATCATCCATCTTTTATCACTCACTTAACCCACCTATACACATTTGTTGCTTCGTTATGTCCTCTTCCCAATTAACTTTCCTACGTATCCTTATGCCATCAGCAAATTTAGCAAATATACCTACTATTTATATAAAAAAAAATGTTGAGGCAGAAAAGCCTTTTGCCCTTGTCCCACACATCCTTTATTCAAAGACCATTGCATCTTTAACTTTTCCCCAGTTAACATAGGAAACTGTGAAACAGGACGTTTGGAGAAAGTAGCTGTAGGATGTCACCTGGAAAAGGAAGATGATGTCTTAATTTAATGACCTAAACATTTTTTCTAACATTCTGCAATACTAAAGCAGTATTCCCTACAGGAGTTAATGGACTGCTGATGAGCACCTTTCCTGATTTGGCTGTCAGGAAGGATTTGGCAAGACTTTTCACTGGGCTAAAATCGATTGTCTCTGGAATCTGCAAGTCGTGAATTTAAGGATCACTCCAGAGATAAGCACATAATCAAAGTCGACACTCTGGCGCAGTACTGTGGAAGTGCTGCACTCTGCCAAGATAAGGGCTCAAGCAGTTGGGGGTAATCTATCACAAAACAGAAGAATTGTTAGTGCACAGGAAACATTGAGTAGGGGTAATAGGGTTTTTTTAAAAAAGTTAGCAAGTTGTAACTCATGGACTGCTGAGAGAGTCCGTGCCAGGGTCTAAGCTATTTACAATCTATATTAATTATTTGAAGAAAATACCAAGAATACTGTGCCAAAGTTTTCTGATGATACAAAATTAGGTGCAAACTACTGCTGTGAGAATACAGTGGTTGCAAAGAGGTTAAATAAGTGGGCAACAAAGTGGCAGGTGAAGAATCACAGTTATTCTAAACTTTCAAACGCTGATGTTGAGAGAGACATGGATGCATTATAAAGGAGCAAAATTATCACTCAGGTACAGAAAGCAATTTGAAACTCAAATGACAGGTTTGCTTTTATTGCAGGGACATGGGAATACAAGAATAATGAAGTCTTGCTCTAATTGTCTTAGGCTTTGGTGAGACCACACCTGGACTACAGGCAGGTTCGATCTTCATATCCAAGGAAGAACACGTGCTTTAGAGATGAAATAGCAACGTTTCACCAGAATGTTTTCTGTTGGGCCTGTACTTGCTGGAATTTGGAAGAAAGAGATGACCTCACTAAGAAATACAAAGATCCTGAAGGGACTTGACAAGGTAGGCTAGGGAATTCTGAAAAATGGCCACGGTAATCAGGATAAAAGGTTTGCCATTTAATACAGTATACAGGAGGAATTTCTTCACCAAAAGGATTGAGAACCTAGCGAATTTTATACCCAAGGGCAGTGGGTGCTCCAATGTTGGAGTGTATTCAAGGCTGAAGAAGTGCTTTTTGGAAACTGAAGACATGCAGAGCAGTCAGGAAAGTGGTGTTTAGGCAGAAATGAGCCATGGTTTCACCGAATGGCTGAGAACCTTCAGGGGCTGTAAGATGCAGATGTAGATCAATTTCGCATTCTTAAATCAAAGCCCATCAGCCCTCTCAGGTGGATGAAAAAAAAATCACCACATTATTTCAATAAGAGCTGGACAACTCAAACATTCAAGTCAATACTCACCCCTCAACCAACACATCAAGACTGTGAGCTTGTTATTTCAGTGACTGCAAATTTGTTGTTAGATTTCCTACATCACAACTGTGACAACATTATGCAAGCACTTCATAGGTTGCAAAGCAATTTGTGAATTCCTGAAGTGCTGAAAGTCATTTTGTTTCCCTCTTGTAGAAGGTTGATTAGGGCTAATGCTTCCAGTGAATCCCTTATTTACATATTTCGCAGATTTCAGGATAAAACCAATGCACACAAAGTTATGCATAAAGCAAACTTCTTCTCAGTAGAATATACAAAGTCCAAGCTGATTCAAGTCCCAAGCAAATACTCAGAAGTTGCCCAGAAATGTGGTTATGTATCTTTGCTTGATCGAGAGAAAAATTGTTTTTTTGTGGTGAGATTGCCTAATATGTGCATCACAAGAGCCCATAAGATTTTTGGCACCTACATGCAGTTTGGTTTGTTTGATTTAATACTCAAGGTAGTTAAACACACACGCAAAGACATTATCTCCAGACTGATGGGTCAGTTTAGTTTCGGAAGAATGCCAAAACAAACGCTTATCACAACATTTGTATCTACAAATATACTTCTGTACTTAATCCAACAGGACATCTTTACCAAAATGCTGGTTGAACTGCTGTGCTGATTTACTGCCCAAGTACCTCTGATGGTTTCTGCTACTGCTTGGTTGCAGCACCTTCATCTCTTGTCTAAAAGTAGAGGGTTCAAGTTCCACTCCAGTGATTGGAGTAAAAACAATCTAGGCTGATACTCAAAGCAGTATTGCAGTGTCAGAACTGCCATCTTCCAGATGTGACTCTAATTCCAGGCAATCTCTCTTTTCAGGCAGATTTAAAACCTTCAACACTATTTCAAACAAAAAAAAAGGGAGTTCTTCCTCAAGTCTTATTCAATATTGATGTTTCTAAAACGCTTTACTTTAATGGCAGCTTTATAATGATCATTAAGATGAGGCACTGGGCCTGAATTTTGACTCATTCACTTCCTGATTCTGTGGACTAAGTTGATCGGTTATTAGACAGCAGAGATGTCAGGAACAGAGCTCAGGTAGCATAATCATAAATTTTTGACTTTGTTTTGCTCAGACAAATCAATACAGTCTCACATATAAAAGAAAGATAAATTAGAGAACATACGGTCATGGGATAGCAAGGATGGGTCAAAGGTGGATTTTTTGGGAAAGAAATGATTACAATAGTTTTGAAAGAGTCAGTTTTCAAGCCAAGACGGTCATTTTTGATAAATATGGTGGCCTGGAAGCATGCAAGAGGCTTTAATAAATTTCTGACACTTTTGAAGCAGTGGTGAAAATCCGAGTACTTATCTCATTGCTAGGACCTAGGGGTGAGAGGGCAGGTAACAGGCATGGAGAATGGTGATCACCTTCTGAAATTGTAAAACTCAATGTGGAGTCCTGAAGATTAGAAGGTACCTGAACAGATGAGGTGTCGTTCCTCCAGCTTGCATTGAGCCTCGCCAGCACTGCAGCAGGCCCGCGACAAAAATGCTGATACGGAAATAGCAGTGTTGAAGAGGCAGGCATCTGGCAGCTCAGACCATTTTGAGAGACTGAAAAGCAGGTGTCAAAGAGGTCACCCAGACTGTAATGGGGAGACACAGCGTACAGGAAAGCAGATAACAAGGTGTAGAGCTGGATGAACACAGCAGGCCAAGCAGCAGAGGAGCAGGAAAGCTGACATTTCGATTTTTCTGAAGGAGGGTCCAGACCCGAAATGTCAGCTTTCCTGCTCCTCTGATGCCGCTTGGCCTGCTGTGTTCATCCAGCTCCACACCTTGTTATCTCAGATTCTCCAGCATCAGCAGTTCCTACAATCTGTAAGTACAGGAAAGCACATTGCGAGCAGTGAACACAGTAGACAAGATCAAATAAAGTGGAGGCAAACTTCTGCTTCACTTGCAAGATGTCTGGGGTCTTGGATGATCAAGGTGGCGGTAAACAGGCAAGTGCTGCACCTTCTGCAATTGAATGGGAAAGTGCAATGGGGGTGTGGAGTGATGTTGGAAGTGGAGAAGGTGTGCACCAGCGTGCCCAGAGGGAACGGTCCCTGCAGAATGCTGACAAGGGAGGGGAGGCGATTGTATCTGGTGGTGACATCCCACTGGAGTCAGCAGAAATGGCGCTTTATGAATCTTTAGATATGGAGGCTGATAGGGTGGAAAGTGAGGACCAGGGTCCCTGCACATCCAACACATTTTCAACCATTTACACTTCTCAGTAGCACCCTACCTAGTATTTCTCACTCTCTCTAGGCTTTTAGTTCTGTTTGCCTATCCCCTTTTCTCTCTCTCTCTCTCTCTGGCCTCCATCTCCACGTACTCTATTCATACTACCCCATCATCTGCATAAATACCAATTTTCGCAGCTACTGTCAGTTCTGATGAAGGATCACTGGACTCAGAACCCTAGCTTTGTTTTTCTCTACACAGATGCTACCAGATCTGTGTTTTTCCAATACACTTTTTGTTTCACATTTCAGCATCAGATTTTTGTGTCTATTCGTAATTGAGCCTGCTCAATGCTGAGATAGCAGGATTGTCATGTACATACCAGAACTTTAAAGGAAACAATTTTGTCAAATTGTGAAATACACAGTCTGTAGACCATGAATTTGGGAATTTTCAGGTCCAACAGATCACATACCAGTGCTTGTACACAAAGTTTGGGTCATTTAAAAGCAAATAAAAAATTTCAATTCAACTTGTGTTACAGCGAATATAATTTTTGACCCATAAACTTACAATCCACTTTACATTGCCAAAATTGCAGGTTAAATATAACAATTATTTCTTTCAACAGTTTTTTAAAATACATATTTAACATGCAAAAGATAACTCAACCCTGTTGGTTTTGAGATTTACTCAAAATTATACAGTAAGACAGACACAAATATTAATTAAAAATGAATCTGCTGTAACACATCTCAAGATCATAGAAGCTTTAAAAGTGAAACATTCAGAACTTTTTCAAATAATCCAAATTCCCCAAACAAAATCCCAAATAACTAACCTCATTAATCAAGAATTGCAGTTGGATCACTCCTGCAGCACTGTCATGTTGGCAGTAACACTCCACCCCTGGTCGCCCAAAGCTGAGGAGTCACATGGTTAAGGAAAGAGAACATTTCCCAGTGTTCAAACCTCAAGATAAACTTGCTAAGCCATTGGACAAAATATTAGACCACTGTTCCTACCACACACACTCAGGAACACTAGTGTAAACCCGATGCTGTCAATACAACTGATCTCCTCCACAGGGTCAAAGTTACATTGTGGCTGGAGGACCAAACTTTAACTGCATGGATTTTAAAGTGGTGGGTGAAAATTTGCTTTACGTAGTCTTTTATTTTAAAAAGTATGCAAGAAAGAAAGAGTAGAAGACAATTCAATTGAAGCCTTACTCCAGTCAGATTTGACAAATTCTAAAACTGACTTAAATAGAAGTTACTGTTCCAGATATGTAAATTATCTAAGAGAGGTTGACTGAAACCCATCACATCCTACGACGCAACTCCAGTTTTTCTTCACTTAAGATCGGTGCCAAGGTTTCCATTCCCCAATATGATGATTCAGCAGGCAGCAGCTGGAAACCACGAAGTAAATAGATGCTTCTTTTCCAAGCTTGGTGCTCACCTGTAGCCTTGGACTGGGAGTTCAGTTTCTGGCACCTACCACCGGTTTACTGCAGCATATTGACTAGTGTGATCATGCACAAATTTGGTAAACACAATCTCATGAATGACAGTTTTTTTTTTAATAAAATCACAATTTAAATAGACTACAATACTTTGAAATGATCACTACAAAAATGCTGCTTAACATGTACGTAATTGCTTGCCTTCCCCCAAAATTAATTCTAATTATCTGCTAAATGTCAGCTTTGCTTAGTGAGTAGTACTCAAAACCTCAGAAGGTCATGGGTTCAAATCTCACTGCAGTCATCAACCACACAAGTTTACATTAACATTTCAATGTGGTAGTGAGCAAGCACGGTTTTATTCACTGTGCCATCTTTTGGGCAAAAGGTTAAAATTGAAACAAAGTTGCTGGAGAAGCTCAGCAGGTCCGGCAGCATCTGTGAAGGAAAAAACAGAGTTAACGTTTCTGGTTCAGTGACCCTTCCTCAGAACGGATGGTGGCTGAGAAAACGTCAGTTTATATGCAGAAAAAGGGAGGGGGATGGGCTAGGGAGTAAATGATAGGATGGAGTCTGAAGAGAGAGAAGAGTAGTTGAACAGACAAAGGAGTTGATAACAATCTGGCTGGGAGGATGAATAGTTGTTAATGGGGACTATTAGTAACTAACTATAGGCGGGTGTAATGGCAGGCTATGTGATCACAAGGCCTGGTGTTTGGGGTAGGGGGCCAGGACATGGGAGAGTTTAGGCCCAAAAATTATTGAACTCGATATTGAGTCTGGAGGGCTGCAGGGTCCCCAAGTGAAAAATAAAGTGTTGTTCTTCGAGCTTGCGTTGAGTTTCGCTGGAACACTGCAACAAGCCGGAGACAGATGTTGGCCAGGGAGCAGGGTGATGTGTTAAAGTGGTAGGAAACAGGTAGTTCAGGGTCATTTTTGCAAGCAGAACACAGGTGTTCTGCAAAGCAGTCACCCAGTCTATGTTTCGTTCCCCAATGTAGAGGAGACCACATTGCGAGCAGCGAATGCGGTAGACTAGATTCTGGGAAGTGCAGACGAAGTCTTGCTTCACCAATGTCCCAGCCCCCTACCCCACACACCAGGCTTTGTTACCACATAGCATCCCATTACATACCACCTGTTGTTAGTCACTAACAGTCCCAATTAACTATTCATCCTCCCAGCCTGACCATTATTAGCTCCTTTGTCTGTCCAACTGTTGTTCTCTCTCTTTAGGCTCTATCCTATCGTTTACTCCCTAGCCCATCTCCCTCAATTTTTTCTGCATGTAAACTGACGTTTTTTCCCCAGCCATCAGTTCTGAGGAAGGGTCACCAGACCAGAAACGTTAATTCTGTTTTTTCCTTCACAGATGCTGCCAGACCTGCTGGGCTTTTCCAGCAACTTTGTTTCTGTTCCCGATTTACAGCATCCGCAGTTCTTTTGGTTAAAACTGAAAGCCTGTTCCAGCTAACGTTAAAGAACCACCTCACTATTCAAGGACAAGAAGTGGAGTTCACTTTGCAACTCCATCCTTATATCAATAACAAAATGGTTACTTGGTAATTTGGATCATTACTACTTGTGGGACTTGTTTGCCTACACTGCAAGTGTTTTCACTCTTAACCAGTGACGATCAAAACAAAAAAAATTGTACAACCACTTCTACTATACTTCCCTGATCTATCCTTGGCCAATTCAAAGAACTTTGCAAAATGGCTTAAGCACAGCTGCACTTAAGAGGTCAATGTTCAGCAATCCTATTCAATTATTTCTCAAAGCCCTTAACAGTTTCATCTTTAATGTAAACCACATCAATTCCACACTAAACCAAATGACACTAACTGGTCCTCCGACACTTCCGCCATCTGCAATCCAACCCCACCACCAAAGACATCTTTCCCTCCCCACCCTTATCTGCTTTCCGGAGGGACCACTCTCTCCGTGACTCCCTTGTCCGCTCCACACTCCCCTCCAGCTCCACCACACCCGGCACTTTTCCCTGCAACCACAGGAAGTGCTACACCTGCCCCCATACCTCCTCCCTCACTCCCATCCCAGGCCCCAAGAAGACTTTCCACATCAAGCAGATGTTCACCTGCACATCTGCCAATGTGGTATACTGCATCCGCTGTATCCGGTGTGGCTTCCTCTACATCGGGGAAACCAAGCGGAGGTTTGCGGACAGCTTTGCAGAACACCTACGCTCGGTTTGCAATAAACAACTGCACCTACCAGTCGCAAACCATTTCAACTCCCCCTCCCATTCCTCAGACGACATGTCCATCCTGGGCCTCCTGCAGTGCCACAACGATGCCACCCGAAGGTTGCAGGAACAGCAACTCATATTCCGCTTGGGAACCCTGCAGCCCAATGGTATCAATGTGGATTTCACAAGCTTCAAAATCTCCCCTCCCCCTACCGCATCCCAAAACCAGTCCAGCTCGTCCC